TTCGATTTAATTTCAAATTTTTTAGCCAGTTCCAACAAAATTTTTCAAAAAAAAATAGTTATCTCAAAAACGGGCTTAAACAATAAAGAAATGTGAAAATAACACCATTTTTGGCATGATTGGTGAATTTTCGGCTTTTTCGTAAAATTTCTTTACGAAATAATTTTTAGCTGAAAAAGTGGGAAAAACCTATTTTTTATGTAATTTGGCGGTTTTTCACTTATTTTTGAGAAAAATGTGGCAATAGATTTTCTGGCTCTGGCTCTGGTTCAAATTCCCTGAAAAATATAAAAATAACACCGTTTTCGGTCTATTTTGTGATTTATTGATTTTTCGATGTTTTACTAAAATCTGAGAATGTGGTTCAAAAATTTGCTTAAAATTTGAAAAAGGTAAAAATGACATCAATCTCGAACAAATTTTGTGTTTTTCGACTTATTTTTGTCGAAATTTCGCTCAAATCCAGATAAAACGAGTGGAACAAATAAAACAACATAAAATTATAAATTTTAAGGCGTGTTTTGACAAGATCTTGCTAAATAAATGTCAGAAACGAACTAAATTGAGCGAAATAAGCTGAAATATTCTCAATTTTGATAATTTTTAAGCCAGTTTAAGCAAAGGTTTTAGAAAAAAAACTCAAAAACGGACTTGAACACAAAAAAAATGGGGGAAAAATTTTTTTTGCCATAATTGTCGGCTTGCTTTTTTAAAAAAAATGCGAAATTATTTTTAGCTGAAAAAGTGAAAAAAAAACTATTTTTTAACTAATTTGGTGATTTCTGAATTATTTTTGGGAAAAATATGGCAAAGTAATAGATTTTATGGCTAAAAAATCTTTAAATTCTCCGAAAAATACAAAAATAACACCGTTTTCGGTCTAACTTTGTGTTCGCCTTAATTTTAATTTCCTGATTTTTCGGCCTACTTTATTAAAATTTTAGTTCAAAAATTTGCTTAAAAACCTGAAAAAAGGTAAAAACATGATCATTCTCCACTCAATTTTGTGTTTATGTTCTTATTTTTGACGAAATTTCGCTCAAAATGTTTAACAAACAAAACAACATAAAATTAGTAAATTAGTATATTATATATTCTCAATTTTGATAATTTTTAAACCAGTTTAAGCAAAAGTTTTGGAAAAAATTGTTGTCTCAAAAAACGGGTTTAAACACTCAACAAATGCAAACCTAACACCATTTTTTGGCCTAATTCAATGAATTTTCGGCTGGTTTGTAAAGAAATTTTGCATTTCTAGCTGAAAAATGTCATAAGACACCCTAGAAAGGCAGAAAATATAATTTTTGACCCAATTTAGCAATTTTTCTATCTTGTTTAGTGACATCTCATGGTTTTCCGATTTTTTTTGAGAATTTTTTGCCAAATAATTGAGTTCTTGTCTGAAAAATGTACAACCTCGAAAAATGCAAAAAATTGCCATTTTATTAGAATTAGAATTTTTATAAAAGCTTTCACTAGCATGTCTCTATCACCAAATCTGGTGAAATTTTACTAAACTTGACAACACTGCCTAGAAGTGATTATTTCTCTGATCTGGTTCCTGATTGGCTACTTGAATAAGCCAACCAAAAAGCTGAACAGAAATCTTAAAGCTCTACTTACATTATTCGTTTGTAGGATTTTATCTAGGGCATTTTCGGGCATCTCCCTGCAAAAGTTGTAGCTTTTGTACCACGATTTCACCTCAAACACGTTTTTCAGCTGAAAAAGTAAATTATCTCGGATTAATATAAACTGAAAATTTACCTCTTCGTTCAGCTCGATTTGTTGCAACCAATCACGCAACGTCTCCATTTTCGAATCCATCAGACAATCGAAACGACTAATCTCACTTTTGATTATATCACCAGCAAATTTCCCGGGCCATTTCTTGAAATTATTCAAAATGGTGTCAATTCGCAAATCCCGGTTTGCAATAAAATAGGCGTATTTGTAATATTCGGGTTCAAAGCCATCCTGGACCATGTTGACCAAAACGTTGTCCTTGCAAATGATCAAATCTGACTTTTTCTTCATCTGGTTTTCGGGGATGCTCTCGATGATGTCATACAAAGTCCTCCAATTGGTCGTTTTGGCGTCTTCTTGGATCTCTTCACCGGTTTCAAAACCGTCCGAATTGCTGCTGTTTTGCGACTGAATCGAGACTAAATCATGCTCGACGATGCGTTCCCGGAAATACAACTTGACTTTCTGGGCATTTATGCAGTTTTGTAACGCTGCAATTATGTCGTTTTTGTCGAAAATCGCCTTCAAGTGCTGGATTCGGGGCGATTTTAGGTAGTTGAAGAATGTCCTTAAGCGCACTTCACTGATGTCGATTTTCACCCCTTCCACTTTGTACATTTCGTTCAAAATAAACGCAAGCAACCAGTTGCGTTTCTGGATGTAGATGATGATGCTCCGACTCGGAATATACAGCATGTTGTCGTGGTACAACTCCTCGATGGTGACGTTTTCCTGGACGTGGAGATTAATCGTGGGGAAACAGTTCCCCACGACGTGGTACAAAAAGTCCAGTTTGAGCTTCCCGAAGTACTTTTCGAACTCCGTGGGGTCCAATTGGCGCTCGAAGAGCAATTTTCCGGTCAATTCCGAGCGATTGAAGTTGAAAATATCGAAATATGAGGTGTTTTTCCCCTTGGAGATGATGTCCGAGCTGTTTTGTTCGATGTACAAAATTTTCGAGAAAGCTTTCAAGTAGTTGAAAATCCGGAGCAAATACTGGGTGGTTTCCCGGTCTTGCAAGTATTTGACGACCAAGTCGTTCATTTTGAGAAAGGTTTTGTGATTCGGGTGGTTTTTATTGAAATTTCCGGGGTCATTCGGGCGATTTTGGGTGTTAAACTCGTCGTAAAGTCGGGCTAAATCCTCAAAAAACGCCTCTTTGGCCCTGTAGCTGGCCACATCCAAGGGGTAGTTTGGAGAAATTAAGATTTCGGGAAGGGAAACGTTGTCTTTGGGGCCAACCTCGTGTCCGATTTCGCTGACTCGTTTGTAGAAATTTGAGAGAGTTTCATCTGAGTTGAGTTTTTCCCCGGAGAGGTTGAGCAAAATTTCGGATTGGTCCCACGTCTGGGTGCCGGTGATCGCAAGGTCGAAGATGTTGGTAAATAAATCGTGTGGAGAGTTCGATTCGAAAAACTCAACAACCGATTTGGCGTTTTTCCGGGGGGTTTTTCGAAATTTGAGGAAAATTTCCGCGTAGTTGACCTCATTCGCGAGATCAGAGTCCCTTAGATCGAAAATCTGAAATATGACTAGTTTCAGACTCGTGGTTTCGGTTTTGGTTCTCAAAGAGGGGGCTTTCGGGCCGCCTCCTTACGAAATCAATTTGGACGATAGTAAAGTTTTGTTATTTCGGAATTTTCACCTATAATTCTTATTACAACAATCTAGTCATTTTTTTGACCCCCACAAAAACGGAGTTTTTGTGCAAAAATGCACTTTAATACTAAAAAAATGCTAGAAAATACTATTTTTGACTTAATTCTGTGATTTTTCAGCTTGTTTTCAAAAAAAAAAAATTGTGAAATAATTACGTTTTTAGCTAGAAAACATGCTAAAACACGTAGAAACTTTCAAATTAATTTATTTTTTCTGGAAAAAATTGAAATATTAATTCAAAAACTTGCTTAATTTTGTGTTTTCGGCTTATTTTTGATCAAATTGTGCTCAAAAACAAGATAAAACAAACAAGATAACATACAATTCGTAATGTTTTTATAATTTTTAGGGGTGTTTTGTCAAGATTTTGCAAAATACATAAGTTTCTGGTTCAAAAACGAACTAAATCAAACGAAACAAGCTAAAATAATTTCAATTTTGATCTAATTGATAATCTTGTAATCAGTTTAAGCAAAATTTTTCGAAAAAAAATGTTATCTAAATCTAAAAAACAGGTTCAACACTCAAAAAATATGAAAATAGCACAACTTTTGGCAAAGTTTAGTGCATTTTTGGCTTGTTTTTAAAGAAGTTCGAAATAATTTAATTGGGTTTTTAGCTGAAAAACATGTTAAAACACGGGGAAATGGCAAAAATAATGTAATTTCCGACTTAATTTGGTAATATTTTGATCTCTTCCAGCAAAATCTCTTAAAAAACAGATTTTAGTTCAAAAATTTGCTTAAAGATTTGAAAAAAGTAAAAATAACACCATTCTTGGTGTTTTTCCGGCTTATTTTTGATAAAATTTAGCTCAAAAACGAGCTAAATTAAACGAAAACAGGTTAAAATAATCTCAGTTTCGATCTAATTTGATTTTTTTTGCCATTTTAAGCAAAATTTTTCCGGAAAAACGTTGCTATATCAAAAACAGGGCTAAATATTCAAAAAAATTAAAAATAGCACAATTTTTGGCATAATTTAGTGAATTTTCGACTTGTTTTTAAAGAAATTTTGCGAAATTATTTTTAGCTGAAAAAGCAATTTTTGACTTATTTTTGGAAAAAATGTGGCAAAATAATAGATTTTCTGGCTAATTTTTCTTTAATTCGACGAAAAATACAAAAATAACACCGTTTTCGGTCTAATTTTGTGAAGAAATTAAAAATAATGTAATTTTCCATTTAATTTGTTGATTTTACGGCAAATTTTTCTCAAAAAACTAAGATTTTAATTGAAAAGTCTTGAAAAAGTAAAAATAACACCATTCTCGACCAATTCGGCTTATTTTTGACAAAATTCAAAAACAAACTAAAACGAATGAAACAAAATATTTTGTATAATATTTTTCTTTTAATATAATATTTTTATGTTTTTTAGGCGCTTTTTGACAAGATTTTGCAAAATAATGAGTTTCTGGTTCAAAAACGAACTAAATTGAGCGAAATAAGCTAAAATAATCTCAATATAGAATTAATTTGATTTTTTTTTGGCTAGATTAACCAAATTTTTCGAAAAAAAAAAGTTGTTATTTCAAAAACGGGTTTAAAAACATGAAAAATGTGCTAAAACACTCTAGAAGGGCAAAAATAATGTAATTTGTATCCCAATTTAGCGATTTTTTTCATCCTGTTTAGTGAAATTTCATAAAAGAATATAAATAAAACTTTTTTTTAACCAATTTATTCGTGATTTTTCGACTTATTTTTGAGAAAATTTGGAAAAATAATCACAGTCCCTCAGATAGAAAATCTGAAACATGACTTGCGTCAGACTCGTGTTAGCGGTTTTGGTTCTCAAAGTGGGGGCTTTTTGGCCGCCCCCTTACCAAATTAAATTGGACGATAGTGCAAGTTTTGTTATTTCGGAATTTTCCGACGACCTTTTGGGAGATGAAGACGAAATGATTCCGGTGAGAGCGACTCTGAACGATGAGAAATACTCCAGAATTCATCAAATCGCTCTCCGGTATAACAAACGAGAATTTAATGAAAAGAAACCGCGCAATATAACGAAAATTAAAGAACACAATTTCGATTTAGACGACGCTGTACCCTGGCAAGGGGGATTCGTTGATAAAAAGGGAAACTTTATTCAGCCGGTAATTTAATTTCTCCCCATCATGTTCAATTATTACATTTGGGCCGGCAGGATAATGAAAACGTTTATTACTTGAACGAAATGGCCAAAAGTCTCATCGACAGTAAAATAGACGAGAAACGAGAAAACGAAAAAGACGAGAATTACGATTACAACAATTTCAAGGCCGAATACAACAAGGAAATCGCTGAAGCGAAAAACCAAAAAGACACTCTAAATTACACAGAGGTCAAAGAGGACGAAACTGTGGAGGAGGCAGTCGAGGCAGTGGTCGATTTCAAGGACGCCAAAAATTGCACAGCGGAGGAAAAAAAGGGAATCGGGGTGGCAGCAATGAAATGCATACTTCGCGACATCAAAACGGCCAAAAGCAAAAATTCGATCCTCAATTTCTGCGAGAAAATCCTACGAATCGCCCTGATTTGGTTCTGCGTCTATATGGTCATTGCCATACCGTGCTGGTGCACGCGAGGTACACACTCTATTTTTCTACTTTCTATTAAAACACCAAAACCGGTGTTGTAATGAAGGCTGTTAAGATACTATTTTGGTAACTTTTTTTTTCGTATTGGCATTCGCCAATATCCACCAAAATCAAACGTCACTTTATTGAAAATTATTATTTATTAGGTTACAAAAATTATAAGTACCAAACAATAAGTACCAACTTAAACATCATAGACAAAAAATCTTCCATATGACATGAAATTTCGTTTAAACAGGAATTTTTATTCAGAAGTTTACAAAATCAATCCTCAATTTGCATCTTTAATAAATATATTAAAACACCGAAACCGGTGTTTTAATGCAAGCTGTTATCGTTTTTAGTAACTTTTTTTATCATATTAGTAGTATCAGGCAATTTCTGCTAGAAGAACTTAAATATTTACCAAAATTCAACGTCAATTGTCAAGCAAAAATATAATTTTTTTTGAAAATTATTACTGTTATTTTGTTATACTTATTATTCTATGATTTTACTATTTATAGGTCACGAAAATGTCATCATATTGTAACAATAAGTACTAATCCAAACATCATAGATAAAAAATCCACCATGTGAATTGAAATTTCGTTCAAACAGAAATTTTTATTCAGAAATTTACAAGTTCAGTCCTCAATTTGAAACAGTTATTTTTCTACTTTGCGTCTTTAATGACTAATAAAACACCAAAACCAGTGTTGTAATGAAGGCTATTAAGATACTGTTTTTGGTCACTTTTTTGTCATATTGGCAGTATCGCGCAATTTCTGCTAGTGGACCTTGAATATTCACTAAAATCAAACGTCAGTTGTCAAACAAAAACAAATTTTATTGAAAATTATTATATGTTATTGTATTATACTTATTGTTCTACATATTTATGTCACAAAAATGACATCATATTGCAAACAATAAATACCAACCCAAACATCACGGACAAAAAAATCCTCCATGTGAAATGAAATTTCGATCAAACAGAAATTTTTATTCAGAAATTTACAAAATCAGTCCTCAATTTGGAACAGTTATTTTTCTATTTTGCATCTTTAATGAATCTAATAAAACATCAAAACCAGTGTTTTAATGAAAGCTATTAAGATATTGTTTTTAGTAATTTTTTTATCATGTTGGTAGTATCTGTGAATTTCTGCTGGAAGAACTTGAATATTCACCAAAATCCAACGTCAATTGTCAAACAAAAACATAAATTTTATTGAAAATAATTGTCTGTTATTGTGTTATACTATGATTTTACTATTTATAAGTCACAAAAATGACATCATATTGCAAATAATAAGTACCAACCCAAACATCGTAGACAAAAAGTCCGTCATGTGAAATAAAATTTTATTCAAACAGAAATTTTTATTCAGAAATTTACAAAATGAGTCCTCAATTTGAAACAGTTATTTTTCTATTTTATGTCTTTAATGAGTAATAAAACACCAAGAACAGTGTTTTAATGGAGGCTATTAAGATATGTTTTTGGTAACTTTTTTTGTCATATTGCCAGTATCACGTGACAACAAAAACACAAATTTTATTGAAAATTATTATCTGTTACTATGTTTATATATGATTTTACTATTTATAGATTACAAAAATAAGTTCATAAACAGAAAAATCTTTATTACGCTCGTTTTATAAGACGTTTGTCGCACTTGCTACCTTAAAGCACTCTTCGCTTCGCTCGTCGACAACATACCGTCTCATGAAACTTGTATAACAATACGCTATTACGACTCTTGGACGAAAAAATGTTGTAGGTTGGTGCTGTTGCTGTTGTTGTTGTAAAATTTGCCGCCCGAGGGAAGTAATCGACGAAGCGAAACACTTCTTCGTCACCAACCCCCCAGGGGTGTTTCACGACAAAGACGGCTCAAAATTCGAATACACGCCAACGGAATACGAGATTTACACTCAGGAAAAGTTGGAAAGGGCGATTTTCAATTTGTGACTTACCTCGATGACCTGGTGGGCCCGTTCGAAGTTCTGGCGTTTGAGACAGATGTGGATGAGGGACTCCGGGGGTGCTAGCATATAATTGAGGAGTTGTTCTTGGATTTTTGGGGTGATTTTCGTATTGAGGATCAAATCGAGACGCCACAAAGCGTCGGTTACGTAATTACTGAGAGTGGAGAGTCTCCGGTAGTGGTCCGAATCGCGCTCGTAGACTTTTTTCAGTTTTAATTCTTCTGTTACTGATTTTAGTAGAAATAAAACAAAGCGGATTTCCTTCTCTTTGCAGGTGAATTCGTGCGCTTTTCGGTGGAACATCAACCGGAAGATATTTTCGAGTAATTCGATCTGTAATTGCTTGTCTTTCAAGTCGATTAGTTTGCTTTTGAGGGTCTCGAAAAGGGCATTAATGTGGTCTTTTTTCAAGTTTGGGTTGTAATTGTCGATTAGGAGGTTGATCAAAGTTGCAAGGATTGTAAAGCCGGTGAAAATGATAAATTGGTCGTGATTACAAGCGAGTTTACTCGAAATGTTTTCCCATTGTGTGGCATCGCCCAAATCGGTGAAACGTGATAAAGTGTCAAGTGGTGTGTTTTTACTCGCGAAAACAAATAAATCTGAGTCGTTTGCATCTGTTTTTAGAGTTTTACAAAACTTTACAGTCGAGATAAATCGCGTTATCTCCTCGACGTAAAATTTCCAAAAATCGTCCAAAAACTCGAAATTTATCTCTCTGGTGAGGCTCTCAAGCTGGTCGATTTCAACAACAGACAAGTTTGTCTCTTTAACGAATTTTATCATCTGGAATTTGTTGTAAATATTTTTCAAATCAACAAGTTTGGGGTAATTGCCAGGATTGTCAATTATCTCATAAACCCAATGTTGCTTCTTGTAAACATGATAATCGTAAAGTGAGACTGGATCACTGACATCTAAACTGTAAATAGACTTATCGTAATCGATGAATTTCCCTAAAAGAGCGTGATTTTGGCTCGCCAACAAAGACAAGTAAACGAGATCCTTGCGTAAAACTTGTCTCTCGTACAAATAATAAATCTTGGGGATCAAACTCTCCCATTGTTTGTCATCAGTTTCCCCACAATCGCTCAAAAAGGTGTAAAAACGGGAAGGATCCTCGGTTTTGTATTTCAGGAGCTTATCAAGGCTTGCAATTAAATGATCCATTTCCGACTCGCTAAAAAATATTTTTTTTGATTGTTTACACAATGGTTGCAATGAAAATACTTACAATTGGGATAAAACATTGCGTGCAAAAACATGAAAGGTTTTTGTTTGATAACATGTGTCACTGTTATGACATCACAGCTGATTTTGACATTTTGGGAGCTTATGTGGTGATTTTAGTTTTCTACTAGTGGCAACCTACAGCGCCAAATTTAAATCATTCTTGTGTGTTTTATTTAATTACGTTGTTGGTAATTTTATTGTGCTGCTTGAAATTGCTATTGTTTTATTTTTCGTGCGCCTTTATGACATTAAGCAAATGTAGTCGAGCAATTAAGGGATAACCTCGTAGGATATAATTAAATTTCTCACAGGGAAATTAAATTTTTTGTAATTGTGTACCTGAAACTTGACCCAGTATTCCCAGGTCTGGTGTAATTGCTTCAATCTGGTGTTTTTTACTTTTTTTAAAAATGAAAAAATCTACGGTTAGGTACAATATAAGATTATTACATTTTGAATTTTTTTTTTTAACATCGAGTATTTCCCCGAAAACGTCGAATTAGATTTTCGCATTGCGCAAGCGTCAAGGAACGAAAATCAATTTTCTAAATTTTTATTGTTAAAATCAACGTTAAAATAGATAAAAATACAGGATGCGCCAGAACTCGCGTCCCAGAGAAAAATGCCATATAAGGTAAGATATCAGGAACATGGAAAAAATGTTAAAAAAAATTTATCTATAAAAATTTCGAAGTTATGAGGGTTTAAAGTTTGCACTTTGACTTTATTTTTTTCTTTTGGAAAAAGCTATTAAAAGAGGAAACAAGGAAGCTGTATTCTAAATTGTAACTCTGTTCAATGTTATTTGTGGGTTTTATTGGCAAAATTTTGGTCCCTTTACTAAATAATTGTAAAAAAACATATACAAGATCATCAGTATCATTAAATAGATATAAAAAAATGTCAAATGTCAAAAAATAAATGTCAAAATTTTTTGACAGATAAAATTTTGTAAACATTTTTTTCATGTTCCTGGTATCTTACCTTACTTGGAAATTATCTCTGGGGCGCGAGTTCTGGCGCACCTGTGTAGTTAGATGAAAAATTACATTTTTTTTCATTTTTCGGGGATTTTTTGCGCGTTTTTCAATTTTCAGACAGAACTCGATTATTTCGCCACTTTTTTTCAAAAAACAAGTTAAAAAATTAACAAGTTTGTTAAAAAATGGTTTATTTATGTTTTACGTGTTCCACTAAGCAGGGTCGAAAAATAGCTAAATTGGGTTGAAAATTATTATTTTTTTTTGCTTTTCTTGCAAAGTTTCTTTAAAAACAAGCCGAGAATTCAACAATTTATACTAAAAATAGTGTTGTTTTTGCATTTTTCAAGTGTTGAAGCTTATTTTTCAGATCAGAATAATTTTTGCCAAAAATTTTGCTTAAACTGCAAGATCTTCTCAAAACACGTGTAACGAAATTGATGTTATTTTGTTCGTTTTCCTTGTTTTAGCTTGTTTTTGAGTGAAATTTCGTCAAAAATAAGCCGAAAAACACATATTTGGTCAAAAATGATGTTGTTTTTACCTTTTTTAAGTCATTAAGCAAGTTTTTGAATTAAAATCTTTGTCTCTTAGAAAAACAAACAAATAATCACGAAAATGTTTTAGAATGTTTTTCAGTTAAAAAAGCAATTATTTTGCAAAATTTTGTTAAAAATAAACTGAAAAACTACAGAAATAGGTCAAAAATGGTGTTATTTTTAATTTCTTTCGCCAAATTTCTTTAAAAACAAGCCAAAAATTCACCAAATTGGAGTAAAAATGCCGTTATTTTTGCATTTTGAGTGATTAAAACCATTGTTGAAACGAGAACAAATTTTTTCGAAAACTTTTGTTTAAAATGGCAAAAAACTAGATGAAATCGATGAGATTATTTAAGCTTGTTTTGCACGTTTTTGAACAAGAGACGTATTGATTTCGCAAGATCTTATAAAAAAAAACTGAAATCGATGTTATTTTGTTTGTTTTAGTCGTTTTTGAGTAAAATTTCGACAAAAGCAAGCCAAAAAACACAAAAATTTGGCCGAGAATCGTGTAATTTTCTCCTTTTTAAGCCTTTAACATGTTTTAGACCTTTTTTTGTGATATTGTGCTACGTTTTACAAGTGTTTTTTAGTATGTTTTTTAGGAATCTCAGATGAAAACTACGGTTTTTTGCGATATTTATGCAAAGAAGAGAGAGTTGAATCTTGTTATTTCGTGAAAATAGGTGTAAATCAGGTGAATTTAATTTAAGTTGGCAAGCGTGTCGTTTTTTTCGGGTAAAGAAGCACGTGATGTAGTGGAATGCAGGGTCGTTTTATTACCAACTTAATAAATATTTACAACGGAATAAATTAAAACAGTTACAAGTTATCGGTCGAAGTCAACTTGCGACAATCGTCGCCAATTCCGAGATTAATCTGTTGGAGGGAATACTCCGGAACGGCGGTGAGCGAATCCGGGCGCGAACGCGCACTATTCCTGGAACTAGTCCTCACCATGGGCACTTCTACTGAAACGATAGTGGTCAGAAGAGACCCTCGATGGTTGTTACCTCCCGCACTGTTAATTTTTCCGGCTCCTTCGCCGCTAGTCCGCTTATACTGCGGCCCGGAGCCGTACGGGAGGGGTTTCCCCCCGATAGCCCCCTTGTGTCTCTCGGCCCGGTCCTTGCACAGGCCGTAGCGGCCCATCAGGATGAAAAAGTCGCGCCGGTATTGCTGCGTGAGGAGGGCGTAGAGGCAGGGGTTGGCGCACGAGTTGAGCGGGTAGAAGAACACGAGGAGGATCTTGGTCTGGGTGACGGTGATCAAAGGGTGGCCTAACAAAGTAATACTATAAAGGGTGTCTCAGAGAGTTAGTAAAGTCCATTATTGACTTTTATTTATTAAAAATTTAAACCATTTATGCAGGGTGTTTCAGAAGTTTCGTCACGAATATTGATAAAAAAAATTATATCTATTAAATTTCGAAATTGGAAGTTTAAATTCTGCACTTTCGTAATTTTATAAACATGACCCAATAATGTTTTATTTATTTTTTTGTTAATTAAGTAATATTGATTAATAATAGATTAATATACAGGGTGCGCCAGAACTCGCGACCCAGAAAATTTTCAAGTAAGCTAAGATACCAGGAACATGAAAAAAATGTTTTGACATTTATTTTTTGACATTTGACATTTTTTTATATCTATTTAATGATACTGTTGATCTTGTGTATGTTTTTTTACAATTATTTAGTAAAGGGACAAAAATTTTGCCAATAAAAGCCAGAAATAACATTGAACAGAGTTACAATTTAGGATACAGCTTCCTTGTTTCCTCTTTTAATAACCCATAGCAAAAAAACTTAGAAAATTATTTTTCCAACAGAAATAAATAGAGTTAAAGTGCAAACTTTAAACCCTCATAACTTCGAAATTTTTATAGATAATTTTTTTTTAACATTTTTTCCATGTTCCTGGTATCTTACCTTATATGGCATTTTTCTCTGGGGCGCGAGTTCTGGCGCACCCTGTATATATTAATTTATTAATTAATAATTTTTATTTATTTTTGGCACTCCATTATGGGAGTTTGAATACTGCACTTTCGTAATTTTTTAAACATGACACAATAATATTTTATTTATTTTTTTATTAATTAATTAATATTGATATGATATATTATTATAGTAATACACCCGGAGCGGTCTTTTATCAATAACTCCGGACTTATTGGTGATAATCTTTTATGTTTGGTACAGTTGAAGAGAAAATTTAATTTTCTATCATATACAAAAAAGATGAGTGTTTTACGGTAAATAGTTATTAAGAAAATTTCTGATAAAGTAAAAAATATGAAAAATCTAAATCCGACTATAACTTGACCCAATAACGTTTTATGCACTTTTTTGAGTCTTTAGGGCCTCTAGAAATGTAAAAAACGTTATATGGAAGAATTTTAAAGTTAAAATTTTTTTTGATTTTTGTCGAGATTTTGGTCGATTTTTGGAACCCGGAGCGGTCTACTGCCAATAACTCCGAACTTATTGATAATAACCTCTTATATTTGGTACCGTTGGAAAGAGAATTTAATTTTCTATCATATACAAAAAAGATCAGTGTTTTACGATAAATAGTTATTGAGAAAATTTCTGATAAAATCAAAAATGAGAAAAATATAAATCCGACTATAACTTCAAAACTGTTAGGAATTTTGCAGTTTTCTTGACGCCAATCAATTCGGAACATTTTACATAAGTTCAGGTCAAAACATTACATCATTGAGGCACAGTTTTGCCGCAATTTACAAAATAAAAAAAAGTAAAAATTTGTTAACACCCCCCCCTTAAAAACTAGTGTTTTTGAACATGTCTCAGATTCAATTTAAACCTATCTTATCCGATAGATTTTGACGCGCTGATTACGAATTTTCCAAGCACTTTGCGTTATCTCCTTTAGTTTCGCCGTAATCGGCATTTGAAATTTCAAATTTTTTTTGCGAGATAACGACTTGGCTTTGACCTCAGTCGATAGATTTTCTTACGATGATTACGATGGTGTTAAGCTTTTTGCTCTAAGTCTAATAGTTTGGCCGTAATCGCCGTTCAAAAAGTGAAAATTGTCAAAATTGTGAATTTTTAAACGCGTTTTTCTACGAAACTATAAGATTTAGAGCAAAGAGCTAAAAAACATTAAAAGTAGCTTGAAATTATCTATTTAATGGCGTAAACCGGAAGTCGCTCCGGGTTATGGYTCCGGGTACAGAGCCATTTTTAGTTTTTTTCAAAAAAATTCATATCTCAAAAACTATGAGTCTTAGGTCAACAGGGTTTATACAGGTGTGTTCTCCGGTTAATTTTACATATAGTACTAGTTTTTCATAAGAATAAAAAAATGTTGATTTTTTGGTYATAATCGGATATAGTGCTTATGCTTTTAGCCTTATTCTTAAGTTTATTACTCAATATCTCAAAAACTATGCATCGTAGAGTATTCTAACTAGTTGAATCGTGTTCAGCGAGTAATTTTACGTCTAGAAAACCATATTTCAACCGTTTTTACGATTTTTAGTAAATTGACTATTTTTACGATTTTACTACCGTTCGTTCCCTTTGAAAAATTCAAAAAATTCAAAATTTTTGAAACTTGACCCAATAACATTTTATGCA